CTCTCTCTCTCTCTCTCTCTCTCTCTATATATATATATATATATATATATGTATTATATAATACCATTAAAATCTTTTTTTCCCCCTCATAGTTAACAAATTAATACATTGTAGTTACTTTTTCATTCATTCTCCGAACCGATTGTCCTGTGAAGCGTCGTTAATTGCTTATAATTAAACATTAAGTAAACATATTCATTGAAATAATATGCATAAATACTACTATTGATTTGTATGAAAATGTTTGTGTGTGTAGAAATTGTGTTTCGGGAATCCACTGGCTCCTCAGGCTCTAGAAGACGTGAAGACAGTCGTGTGGAAGAACACCAGTGATGGAGTCCAGGACAACGGACTCACACTCAACGGTAACACACTTTACGCATATATTCATATTTTGACATCATAATTAATGATGATCACTCACTCTTTCACATGTGTTTGTGTGTTTTCCGTAGGTTTCTTGTTCTTGAACACTCTCTTTATCCAGAGGGGACGTCATGAAACCACCTGGACCATCCTGCGTAAATTCGGCTACGACGACACGCTCGAGTTGACCGATGACTACCTCTACCCACCGTACGTCTGTGCATGTGAGAGCATGTGAGTGCACGAACAAAAGCCAGTATTGAAGTGACCTATATGTGTGTGTGTGTTTGCAGGTTACGAGTATCGGTGTGTTGCACGACGGAGCTGAATCATCTGGGTCATCAGTTCCTCCAGAAGCTGTTTGATAAGTATGACGAGGTGAGCTCGCACATCTGATCCTCTAATGAACTTTGCGTGATTAGAGGTTCGTCAGGCTGATGCTTGCGACTCTCCTCCTGCAGGATAAAGATTCAGCTCTCTCTCCTGCTGAGCTGAAGAATCTATTTAGTGTTTTACCCTACATGCCCTGGGGCCCGGAGGTGTACAGTAACGTCCCCCTATCAGACGACAACTACATCTCACAGCACGGGTACTTCTGCCAGTGGATGTGAGTCAAAATAGATCATTTTTTCTCACTGGGAGTCACTTTAATGTGTCATTAAAAAAAATTATTTCGCTTTTGATGATGATATTCTGGTGGGTATTAATATACATTTCCCCTCTTGATTCAATTCTGATTTGATTAGTTGTGTTCATGAGTCATTTGTTTGTGAATAGGGCTACAGCGGCTTTATAGGAGTCATTTTATTGTGAATCAGCCTACAGTGTTTAATTTATGATTGTCTTAAAACCTATTAATAAGAGTCATTTGTTTGTGAATTGGACCTTGCTGGTTGCACTGTATGCTTAAAAGAATCAGTTCAAAAGAGTCATTTGTTTGTGAATCAGACTACACTAGTTGAGCTGAATGTTTTATGATTTACGAAAAAGAGCCAGTTCATAAGAGTTATGTTTGTGATTCAGGCTACAGTGTTTGCACTATATGTTTATGATTCACTAAAAAGTACTGGTTCATCAGAGTCATTTTTCATGAATCAGACTACACTGGTTGTGCCTTATGTTTGATTTACTAAAAAAAAGTTAATAAGAGTCATTTGTTTGTGAATCAGACAACACGGGTTGTGCTGTTTGATTATGATTTACTAAAAAGAACCAGTTCATAAGAGACATTTGTTTGTGAATCAGGCTGCATTGATTGCACTATATGTTTATGATTCACTTAAAAGAACCCGTTCATAACATTAATTTACTTGTGAATCAGCCAACACAGGCTGCACTGCGGTGTTTGTTTATGATGCACTAAAAAGTACTGGTTCGTACGAGTAATTTTTTCATGAATCAGACTTCACTGGTTGTGCCATATGTTTAAGATTCACTAAAAAAAACAGTTCATAAGTGTTGATTGTATTTGAATCATTCTACACATGTTGTGCTGTATAATTATGATTCACTAAAAAGAATCAGTATGAGTCATTTGTTTGTGAATCATGCTACACGGGTTGTGCTGTATAATTATGATTCACTTCATGAGTCATGCGTTTGTCACATGTTGCGCTGTATGTTTATGATTCACTTAAATGAATTGGAATATTATTAATACGCACTCCCAATTTGGTAGTTATGGTTTTAAATTTGATGTGTTATTGAATAAACGCAGGTTATCGGCTTATCTGGATGTTCACCGGTGTTTGGAGCATCTCGGTCACCTCGGGTATCCCATTCTAATGGAGCGAGAGTCCCAGACCTCCGCTATCACAGGTAATGAGATCCTCTCACAGTCCTGCTTTAAACCCCACATACGTTTGATCAGATGGATTCTGAAGAGTCTTTCTGTCTTTTTCTGTGTGTATGTTAGTAACAAGAGAAAAGGCGTTAGACCTGGAGAAGAGACAAACCCAGCGCACTGTGTTCCTCTGCAAAGTGATCGGTCCACGCGGAACAGGAAAGACTGACTTCCTCCGAGCTTTTCTGCAGCGAAGCACTGAGGTGAGAGAATGATTTGAAAAACCACTGTTTGTAATTTTACTTGACAGAATACTACATGAAGCCAATCAGAGCAAATTGCCTTCGAATCAGAGCCAATCAGAGCATATGTAATGTTTAATATATTTATGTATTTTTATGTTCCAATGTGATTTATATGAAAGGGGTCATATGATGTTGCTAAAAAAAGAACATTATTTTGTGTATTTCTCATCGGTCTGAAAAAGCGAGGTGTGCTGTGATTGGCCAGCTGTCCAGTACGATGTGATTGGCCGAATACCTCAAGCGTACCTCTACCAGGAAACACCTCTTCCTCAGTAAAATGCGTTGCACACATCTGAATATTTGGGTTGAAGTGTTCTGGAACAGTGTTGTAAATACAACTTAACCACTGATTTCTAGTCGTGTCCTCTTTTGGAAGACCAAACAAAGTAGTTTCGCTTTCACAACGAAACACACAGCGCCTTCACGACATGGCGGCGGCAACAATACTACAGCGAGAATAAAAGTTATGCCTTCTTTCTTTGTGTGAACATTTGGGCGGCGTTATGCAAATCTTCCCACATAGTGAGGTAGACATGTGGGGGCGTGTTAGAACTAGCCGTTTTAGGTAGGCGTGGTTGACTCTTAACTTTTATAAAGAATATCTCTTTGTGTTTGAGACTTTAGTCTTTGCAACTTTAGGGATCTTATCTATTCACTAACAGCTTGTAACACTCCAAAGAGAAAGGAAAACTTGAAATCGTATCATATGACCCCTTGAACACAATAAATTTTTTTTTTAAATGCAGTCTAATCAGAGGCAATCCGAACATATTTAATGCTTAATATATTGTTTTATTTATTTTGATATATTTTTAGATACCAGATCGATTTTTATGAACTCAGTAAATAAAATACAATTAAAAACTGCAGTCAAGTCAAAGCCAATCAAAAAATATTTCATGTTTAATTTTATATTTCTTTTTATTTAAAAAAATATATTTTTATTTACCAATGACTTTATGAACGAAATGAAAAAAGTAAAATGGTTGCTTTATCATAATTTTTTTTAATATATTTTTTTCTATTGTACAAAGAAATAATAATAACCAGGGTTTTTACATTAATATAGTTACAAAATAGTGCTTGTGTTTCTTAAGGCAGTTTTACTCTAGAAAGAGGTTTTCATGCTTTACTTCTGTCTAGGTAATATTTATGTACTTTGCAACCCCCAATAGTCTTGGTTAGATCTACGAAATATTTACAAATCTATTTTGTTTATTTTCAGAGAAACGAGCGCGACCCCGGTCCCCCCACAATATACGCCATCAACACCGTCTCAATAGCCAATCAGGACAAGAACCTCATCGTAAATTCCATCTCAAGCTTTACACAAACCCTAGTTTATTGGCTCCCGGCTGACGTGTGTGTTATTTCTCGCAGCTGGAGGAGGTGGACGTGGAAACCGAGTTTCTGAAAGCAGCAGATGCAGCGTGTGATGTGGCGTGTCTCATGTATGATGTCAGCGACCCGGACTCCTTCAACTACTGCGCTAGTATTTATAAAGTACGAAACCACCACACATGCACGAGATGCTTCAGTTCTGGAGTAATGTGTGACAAACTCTGACACACGCTTCACTCATTAACCACATTAAAATTGGATCATCCAACTGATTTAATAAACCATAATGACCTTGCACAACCTGATATCTGTCTTATTTATTTCTCCTGAAGGCTAACATGCACTTTTAGTTGCGCTATATTGATATAACTCATGGAAAACAGTGCAATTCATTTCTGTGATGCAATTTAAATATATAAAAATATATTCAAATGTTTTGTATTGTAATAATTTCACAATATTACTGTTTTTACTGTGTTTTTCTTTTTTTTAATCGAACAAATGCTGAAACTTCAGTAGTTGGCAAGATCAAGAAGTATATTTGTGTTTTGTTCCTCTGTAGCAGCACTACATGGACCGTGGGATCCCGTGTGTGGTTGTGGGCTCCAAAGCTGATCTGATAGAAGCCAAACAGCATCATGGGATGAGCCCGTCTGAGTTTTGTTACAAACATCGGCTGCCTTCACCTCTCCGTTTCTCCACGCTGCTCACACACACTCACACACACATTTACAGCAAGCTCACCTGGGCTGCCATGTACCCGTAAGTACATACATTTTACATTATATATTTCATTTATAATTTTATATATTTTTATAATTAAATTCATTTTTCGCCATTTAATTTAAGCCGTTAAGTTAAAGAAATTTTTTATTTATTTATTTTTAAATTTACTTTAAAATTTCTTTAATTATGAAATATAAATTTAAAATGAGCAGCTTAAATTAAATTATTTTATTAAAATATTAAAATTAAAAAATGAAATATAATTTTATTTTTAGCCATATAATTTAAGCTACTAAGTGTAAGTTAAACCACTTCAAAGTACAAAAAAATTTATATAAGTTGCTAAAATTAAATCACTTCAAAGGACAGTATATATATATATATATGTGTACATATTTTTTAAAAGATTTTAAATAAAACTATTTAAAATAGATATAGGCTGCTACTAAATTTGAATTAAACCGCTTTAAAAAATGAATATAAAAGCTAATGACTCCCTCCGGGTTGATGTTGCCAAGTCTTCTTATTCTTACACCCACAATCCAATCAATTCCTGTTTAATAAAATTACCTACTTTTTTCATTGAATATCACATGCCACTTGTAAATATTTCTGTCGAATAAAATGGGTTTCAAACGTTGCCTGTTGACTTCAAAGATTTGCAGGTGCCAGACTAAAATTAGCCTGCTTGGCTGGATGTGTGTCAACAAGGTCACCAGAAATACTGAGTGTATTTAAATCTCTCTATCTATGTCACTTCCTGTCTGCAGGCACCTGAACGGATCAGACATGAGCAGCACGTCTTTCTGGCTGCGTGTGACTCTGGGCGCCACAATAGCCGCCATGCTGGGCTTCGCTCTGTACAGAGCCTTTAGCCGACACAAATGATGCAGACACAATACATGCAGATAAACACACACTCCCCTGTTTCCTGCGCTCTGTCTTGGCCTTACTGAGTCACTGTGGCTTAACCAGGGCATGAAGCTCTACTAGTTACAGTGACCACAAAACAATTAAGCAGATGTTTGTTTGTTTCTTCTCAGCTGGACTAAAGTATTGCACACACACTTTGCTTTTAATACGAAAAGTTCCCGATCTTACTGTTTGACTGACATCGGTCGACCCCAAGAGACATTTTTTTCATCATGTTTTGAGGGGAACAATATCAAGAAATGATTTAAAAGGTTACGTTTTGAATTGTACAGAGTTTGGAATGTATTGAATCGCTTGGGAAATCAGTGTGGATCATAAATATATTCCATGTGAATTTGTATTCTGTTTCTGAAGCGTGTGTTCAAAGGCATCTCTGTGTTGGGGTCGGTTATTGAGTTTTTAGCTCAGCCAGTTCAGGAAATGCACTTAAATGTAATTTATCATTCACCCTCTCAAAATGTTTTAGAAACTAAAGAAAGTTCTGGGTTAAATAGAAGTTAAAAGAATAGGTCATTACCTGAAGATTTACTCTCACTCAGATCATCCAAGATGTATATTTGGCTAAATTTAGCATCACTTGCTCACCAATGGATGCTCTGCAGTGAATGGGTGCCGTCAGAATGAGAGTCCAAACAGCTGATAAAAACATCACAAAAAAAAGCTGCATGTTTGTACTAAATCCATTATCTGGAAACCATTATTTCTGGCCAAAATATGAATCCATAATCTATTATAACGCTTCCTCCAGTGAAAAAAGTCTATCCTCTGTTGTCTTGTCACCAAAATCCACACACACATTTGATTAGACCTCTTTTGGGCTGTAAACGTTGTTTAATCTGTGCATATTTCTCTCCTGATTCAGACGAGATGTGTTTTTCACGGGAGGAAGCAGTATTATGAATATTTTATTCCAAAACAAAGGTTTGAATGTAAAAGAAATATATATATATATATATATATATTAATGATGGATTTGTTTATTACAAATATACTTATTTGTGTATTATTATGATGCTTTTATCAGCTGTTTGGACTCTAATTCTGACGGCACCCATTCACTGCAGAGACAGTGATGCAATGCTACATTTCTCCAAATCTGTTCTGATAAAGAAATGTATCTGTTTCTTGGATGGCCTGAGGATAAGTACATTTTCAGCAGATTTTTCATTTGAGTGAACTGTTCCTTTAAATTTGAGTTAAATGCTACAGATGTCAGCAGAAAATCATCATTTGGGCTCTGAATTCACAGATTTTCAAGTGTATTTAACCCATTTAGGTGCATCTTCTAAATTGGCCGAATTAAAGCAAAATAAGCATCAGTCCCCATTCATTTCCATTTCATATTCCTCAGATGGACATTTATATGTATGGACCATGACTGACAAATGTACGTGTTACTTTTTTAAGACAGCCGAGGCAAAACCCATTGATGATTTTGAGAATAGTTCAACTGGACCGAAACTCGCAAAATCTTGCTTTTCTGTTCGCCTGTATTGATTGTAGGGATGAATGATTTCTGATTGTTTAAAATTGCAGTAGGGATGGATGGTGTTAAAAAGTGTATTCTAAATGATATTTTAGTTCGATTAATTGCTCTGATGCTATTCATCCTGTAGTTACAAAAACCAGATAACCAGTGTGAATAGAGTTGCTTCAACCATTATAATGACTGAAATGGTCAGGATGGACCGTAAAGGATGGCCTGGCTGACTGTATTTATAATATTGTCCAAACTGGATTTATCTTGAAAACATTGTTGCCATGTTACCTTTTATTTCAGCCTCAAATCATTCTCCCAAAAGCCAGTTTCAGGGCTGAGGGTCTTTCTTGTTCATTCACGTGAATTTGCATGTGAAGATATTCCTTCAAAAAGAAAGATGCGACTGTGGCGGTCCTGATTTATTGGTTTAATTTTCATAATTCCAATATTTTGTTCGGTATTAATGCCCAGTATTAACTTACCCTAAAAATCCCCCAGGCTTGTGTCTCCTCAGCCGTAGTCTTCCAGCTTCAACATCAAATGAGATGCTTGGATTGAAGCCAGTATGTTCTAATAGAAATATTTTGTAATAAACTAGCTTTTTTTCTGGTGATTTTGTTTACTGTGCTCTATGACATCAGCATGCTGAAAATGTACACTGTAAAAAAAAAAATTCTGTACAATTTACGGTAAAAAAAACGGCAGCTGTGGTTGCCGGAATTTTACCGTAAAAAATACAATCGCAACGTTTTAGGTTTTTACGGTTTTAACTTAAATTTACAGTTAAATACCGTAATTTCATTAACTGATATAATGTTAATATACCATCCTATTGAAGTACTGAAATCTGTTTTGTACCTTTGTAATACACTGATAACCACCCAACGCAGAAGGTGATGAGAAAGTCACATGATGAACCAAAGCCCATCACAAGCAGCTTTTAAATAATAACATATATAGAAGGTGTGCCGTGTCATTCACACACACACTAAACACCATCACGGTAACACACATGAAACTAAATAATGCAATAAACATTCATTTAACAACATTAGGTGTAACACACAACCCTAATATACAAAACTAAGAAACTTAGTTATTTCAACCAAAAACATCACATTTTTAATGGAATTCTGGGAATGTCAATTTACGGTTATTCACTGTAAATTATACGG